GAGTTTGGTGAGATCGTGAGCTTATAGATGGGAAACCAAGAATGCTTTCCTCCAGAGAGATTTACATTTGTTCCCGCCAGGAGGCAGAGGCTACCCTACCCTAGAATCGATTGTGGCCTCCTCCTGGGCTCTGAGTTCAAGGTGAGAATCTTGAGTTCAGCCTCCCCTGTTGTTGGGAGCCCAAGGCATCCGTTCCAAATGGTCAGAGCAGTTAGTCAGCATTTGCACTGATCGCAAATTCGACACCACGTTTCCAGTTTGCTCAATACTCGGGTTTCAGCTCACTATTTTTGTTGATTTTTGCTGCTGTTTTGGTTTTTGTTTGAAAAGAAGGGGTGCCTTAGAGAAGTCCTTCTCCCCTCAGGAATCCAGCAGTGCGCTTAAAGACTAAGTGGACCCAGGATCTAGGGGTTTCGTTGTGAAAGGGACCCTCGTCGTATCTAGAGCATCACACCAACTGAAGTCATAGATCTTGTGCTGTCTTTGTCTGCTTGATTCACTGTGGAATGCCACAGGGGAGCAGCAGAGGCTGGCCTGATTGTTTCTGATCCTGTGCAGGTGGTATGCAGGAGCCTTGCGGACGGTTCCCCAGATTTTTGCAGGGTGTCTACTTTGTCCCTTGACCAGCTCCTCTCCACCTTGAAGGGCTTTTCTGTTCAGACTTGCTGATTCACCCTCTTTCTCAGTATTGCTTCTGACTGAAGGGCCAGAGGAGCTTCCTGTGCCTCTTCGAGATTTCCTTGCTTCTGTGTCATAAAATCGAGAGCAGAAGGTCACTTCCACATCCTCGACTGGTTGCTACTGGTACATTTCTGTCTGATTTTCATGTTCATTTTGATTAGTATCTGTGATTTTGCTTCACTCTCATTTTATCTGGAGGTCTGATATCTACATTTTTCACAGCACCTCAGAAGTTGCAGGTGGTCTTTAGACCAGAATTTCAGAGTCAGGGGTTACCCATGGCATGAGCGAGTTAGAATGAATAACAGAACAGAGCAGGCTGTGGACGAGTCTGGAGTCAGAAAGCTTTTGCCTGTCACTTTGTTTAATGAAGCAAGTAAGATACAACTAAGTATAAAGTGATCCCATACAAGTGAAGTTCAAAAACAGGCACAATTCAGAATGGTAGCTCCTCAATCATTTAAACAAAAGTACTATACGCTCATTAATTCCACTTCTGGGAATATTCTCGAAAGAGATGAAAGCAGGGACTTGAACAGGTGTGCGTGCATCAGTGTTCATAGCAACATTATTCACAGTGATCTGAAAGGTAGAAACAACCCAGATGTCCACTGACAGATGACTGGATAAACAAAACATAGTCTGTCCATACTATGGAAAGTTATTCAGCCTTGAAAAAAAAGGAATTCTAACATAAGGTAGATAGCTAGTGGGAAGCAGCCGCAAAGCACAGGGAGATCAGCTCGGTGCTTTGTGACCGCCTGGAGGGGTGGGATAGGGAGGGGGGGAGGGAGGGAGACGCAAGAGAGAAGAGATATGGGAACATATGCATATGTATAACTGATTCACTCTGTTATAAAGCAGAAACTAACACACCATTGTAAAGCAATTATACACCAATAAAGATGTTAAAAAAAAAAAAAAGATTAGAAACAAAACAAACAAAAAAGGAATTCTGACACATGCTACAACGTGGATGAACCATGAAGACATTATGGTAAGCGAAATAAGCCTGTCACAAAAGGATAAATATTGTATGATTCCACTTATATGAGGTACCAAGAATGGTCAATTTCATAGAGACAGAAAGTAGAATGATGGTTGCCAGGGACTAGGGGAAGGTGGGAATGGGGAGTTATTGATTAATGGGGACAGACTTTCAATTCGGGATGATGAAAAAGTTCTGGAGATGGATGGTGGTGATGGTTGCCCAGCCATGTGAATGCACTTAATACCACTGAACTGTGCAAAGTGGTAAAAGTGGCAAATTTTATGCTATGTATATTTCACCCCAATTAAGAAAAAAAGACAACTAATTTACAGTGAGAGAAATCAGAGTCATGGTTATCTTTGAGAGAGAGTGACAGGGTGGAGGCACAAAGGAGCCTTCTGGGGTCTGGGAATGTCCTGTATTTGATCTAGTGATGGTTATAAGAGTGTATAGATTTATTAATAATCCCTAAACCGTACGTTCAGGGTTTCTGCATTTTAGAGTATGGAACTTTAAAATATTTTAAATTCAGGGGCTTCCCTGGTGGTGCAGTGGTTAAGAATCCGCCTGCCAATGCAGGGAACACGGGTTCAAGCCCTGGTCCGGGAAGATCCCACATGTTGTGGAGCAACTAAGCCCGTGCGCCGCAACTACTGAGCCTGCGCTCTAGAGCCCGCGAGCCACTACTGAGCCCAAGTGCAACAACTGCTGAAGCCGTGGCACCTAGAGTCTGTGCTCCGCACCAAGAGATGCCACCGCAACGAGAAGCCCACGCACTGCAACGAAGAGTAGCCTCGCTCGCCGCAACTAGAGAAAGCCCACGTGCAGCAACGAAGACCCAACACAGCCATAAATAAATAAATTAATATAATGAAAACAAACAAAAATGCAAATATGGTAGAGAATTTTTTTTTTAATTCTACAAGCGAAACTTCTTAAGTCCCAGCCAGAGAGGAGCTGGGCTCCACGACATTCATGGCAGTTGAGAAAAGAATCACAGAGTTGAGAAAAGCCAGCCTGCCTTGAACTGGGTGGGATGCAGGCATCCTCCACCCTCCCATCAGAGCAGTGCTGAGCAGCCACCCGCCCCATCCTGCCCTCTGGGAGCTCACACTCACATCATAGCCACGCTTCAGCAACCTAATTGAGCTTCTGCTGGTTTATTTTTGCCTAACTTCTTGTTGTTGTTGCTTATTGGTTTTTGTATTATTGGCAACTTTATTGTTAGGAGTGGACCATTGTTAACCTCTGATGTTGCATGCTCAGGCCACCTCCCTGCTGGGTCCTGGTCACACATTCCCATCAGTGAGTCCTCATCACACAGGGAGCCCCAAGGCTAAGGGGTACCTCTGCCCACTGAGGAAGGAGTGTGACCTTTGTCGGGAGCTCAGCTGAGCGGGGAGAGGGAACTGGGCTGCCAGGTATCGGAGAGCTGATTACGATAACAAGCCAACGACTGAGAGAGTTAACCGTCATCACTTACTGTGGTGATGTAAGATGCTATAAGACGGTATAAGCAAGACTGTAAAGCCGGTGAAAGAGCCGACTCCCCTTCCCCCATAGGGTCAGATGGATGCTCTCATTGTTGAGGGAGCCAGAACACAAGGCTCCAGCCCTTTTATGGACCTTGGGTTTGGGGGAGGACCAGGGCTAGGGCTTGGAGTGAAAAAGCACAGGGTTCTGAGTCAGAAGGGGGAAGTGCCCTCCCCTCCCCCCATAAGGAGGCCTCCACCCAAGGCCTCCACCTAAGAGGCCTAGGAATGCAAAGATGCAAAAGAGGCAGGCACCTGAGTCCTCGACCTCAGCTCCCCCAGAGCCAGCCCTGCACTGTGTGTACCCCGTCTGAGGTGGAGGGCAGCCAGGGAAAGCTTGGTGCTTGCGTGTGGTCAGGGCTGAAAAGCACGCACAGCGTTTTAACTGGGAGCCAGGCTTCTCAGCAGTGTGGGTCTGTTGTCCTCTCTAGGTGGGGGAAACAGGGTGGGGAGGTGTTAGGCCCTCCCCGAGGTGACAAGATGGAGCCCCTCGTGCTCCCTGGAGACCTGGAGAGCCCAGCGCGTGTTGATCCCAGGTCACAGAGCTCAGTCCAGTGAGCCCACACCACCTCGATTTCTGGAAGGGCCTATCTCCTCCCACTAGTGACCAGGCCTGGGGTGACCCCTTCTGGGTGGGGTTCCCACCCTCCAGACCACAACAGAGGAGCACAGCCCATGCTTCCTCTGCCCCGTGGGGCATTCCAGGCACTTCCCAGCCAGGCCTTTCCTGGAAGAAGAAAAGCAAAGAACAATCAGGCCAGAAATCCAGTGGCCACAGGTTCTGGGCACTCCCCGCCCCTGGTCCCCACCCCTGCCCTGTACCCTCTTCCTTCATTTCTCTTCTCTCCTGTCACTGTGTCTCTGCTCAGGAGAAAAGATACTGCTTCCTCCTACAGCCAGACTCCAGTATGGCTCAGCGTGAACTGTCACCAAGCCTGTCTTCGTTTAAAATTTTATATTTTGTTCATCATGGATTTAAAAAATTGTTTTACAATATTGTATTAAAATATTATCTTGATTACTGAGTATTTGGGTGTCTCCTGAAATTTTGCGCCCACGGGGATGCCACACTCTCTCGGCCTTAACCCCGGCCCTGCTGTGCTCAGGGAGTCATTCGTTCATTCATTCATTCATTCATCCGTTCCACACACAGTCGCTAAGGGCCCCATCAGTGCCAGGGCACAAGCTGGGTACTGGGGAGAGAAAGGGAGCCCCACAAGACAGTGTTGGGGAAAGACAGCTGTGAGCCCCGAGGATTGTGGGACAGTGGGGGAGGGAGGTGCAAGGCAAAGGGACCCCAGGGGAATCAAAATCATAGCAGCTAACACTTAGGGTTATCGCGCCCCAGGCTCTGAGCTAAGGTCTTGCTCTGGGACATTTCCATGGCCCTTCGATGTTTGCAGATGCCTGTAAGTCACAGAGGTGGTTCCGGGACCCTGGTGAAGTTACATGCAGGTAATTTGCAAAAGGTCACACTCTGAGCAGGTGGCGGTGGGAGTCCAGGTCCCTGCGGCTCTGGGCTCTCACCTGCTCTGGGTATTGCAGCCACTTCCCCCGGTATCCCCCTGGGGGTGTCAAGGAAGGCTGCATGGAGGAACTTTGCATTGAGCTGAGAGAGGATGCGTGAAAGTTTACACAAAGACCAAGGATAGAAGGTAGAAGTAATTCTGGCCGAAGGAACAACGTTTGCAAAGTCAGTAAGGCTCAGAAAAAAAAAACTGATATCTTGGTGTCCACAATTCTAAGAAGCTGGGCAGCCTCCTAAAGAGTCACTTGTACGGAAAGAGGCCAGGCCAGCACCGCTTCCTCTTTCAGCTTCTCTGTTTCCTAATGACGTCAGCGTAAGTAGGAAGACTGAGAAGCTGGCTGGCTACCGCCTGGAGACTCCAGCAGAAGGTCCGTCTGTCCCAGCGCAAAGAGGTACGGCCCGGCTTTGGGGGTAGGCTAAAGGGCAGGGTGGGGAGCAGGGGGAGTGTAGGAGCCTGGGATGGAAAGGACAGGGAGAGCCTGGGGGTGCTGAGTGCACAGGTGTGCTCTGAGGACTTGGGAGGTCAGCGCTTGGTCTCTTGGGAAGTCCTGAACCCAGACTCCTAGGCAGCCAGTGGACGAGAAGACAGTGAGGGCCGACCTGCCTGGGTGTTGTATGAAGGGCTTCGGGGGGCCTAGGCCTCACTGGAGGATCCTGCTGTCCTGGCAGCAGAGAAGATACCTGGGGCGGTGGAGAGCTCAGGCCTGGGAGTCAGACCCCTGTGTACCGTTGTCTTTGCTTTGTCACTAAGTTGTCACAAAGGTGTTGGTGGCAGTGAGAATATCCTGCCCTGGGCTTGTGTCTCACGTCTGGAATGGGGAGAGCACTGATAGTTCCTGACATCCTGGTTCAAAGAGAGAGAGAGAGAGAGAGAGAGAGAGAGAGAGAGAGTGTGTGTGTGTGTGTGTGTGTGTGTGTGCGCGCGCGAGCATACGCATATGCATATGTGGATGTCCACAAAGATGGAGAGATACTGGGAGACAGAGGATGAAGCCGGGAGCCTTGCTGTGGCCAGGCCCAGAGCTTGGTGCGGGTTGAGAAGCTCACTTTGGAAGATAAGAAGACGCCCAGTCCCTTACTTACTTAGAGACTTGTCTTCCCCCGTCCAAGAATGTTTTCTTTACGGTCACACTCCTCCCTGACACGCTGTTGCTTAATTGGGTTTGGGCCCAGATGTGGATGCCCTGTACTGAAGTGTGTTGGCTGAGTGGGGAGCGTCTGGGGGTGTCTGCATCCGGATGTGTGCAGGTGTGTGCACTTGCCCTGTGGATGGGAGGGCAGGTGTTTCTGTGGGTCCCCAGGGGGGTACAAGCCTGTGGACACTCGCCAGACAGGCTCCAGTGACAAGTTGCAAATGTGTGATGTTAAGTCTTCAAAGGCCCCACTGTTACACTTTTGTATAAACAGATTCTAATTTTCTCTACTTACATCTTTCCTGTTTTCTAATGGTTTTATAATGAGTAAAACCTTTCCTATTAATTTTTGGTCACCCTTTTTTTCATTCATTAGTTTTACTTATGTTGTGCTATATCCACTAATACTACAGGATACTTCATGAGTTCTTTAATGAACGTATTTAACACTAACCAAGTAAATATATGGATATCTTCTTTGTTAAAAATTGGGGGTACATAAATGAGATAATAACATACATATTGTCCTATGACTTAGTTTTCCACTTAATATTACATTTTGGACAACGTTCCAGAATAATACATGGAGATTTAACTCATAAATTAGCCCCAAGAGATACATAGCATTTATTAGTATAGACACCCCACAATTTACCCAATCCCATGTTGCTAGACCCTTACACGATTTCCAATTTTTCCACACCTGTGAAACTATTTCTGCAGCTCAGATTCCTAGAAGCAGAATTGCTGGGCAAGAGATTGCACGTTCAGACTAGTAATAGATATTGTCAAACCACCCTCAAAGTAGCTGAACTAACATACACCTCACAGTCGTGCATAAAAAAGCTGATTTCTCTTTAGGGAAACAATCTTTTAATTGTGTCCAATGTAATGGATGAAAAGTATCTGGTTCTTGCTTGGATACGTCCTTTTCCTGGTGATGGGTGAAGTTGTGTATCTTCCATGTGTTTAATGGCCATTTGGATTCCATGTATGACGTGCATGGAAATGTCCTTTTTCCATTTCTTGATGGGTTCATTGTATTTATGTATTAATTTTAGGAGTGCTCCATTTATTATGTATATGAACCATTTGTTTATATACGTTGAAAATATATTCTTCCAGATTATCATTTGTCTTTTTTATCTGACATGTTTAAGATATCTTGCATTGTATGCAAATGTGCTCATTGCTCTTAAGTCAAATCTGTCATTATTTTTTATTTCATGCTTTCTGGATTCGGCGTCTTATTCAACCGCTAAGATTAAAGAAATATTTTTAATGCTTTTATCATTTTAGTTTTGACTTTTAAATCTTTAATCCATCTAGAATTTGGAGATGTGGGTAATATGTAAAGTAGTAATCTAACTTTTAAAAAAAGGTCAGCTGATTGTCTCAATATCATTAATTATGAGTATGCAACCCATGCTTTCCTCTGGGATTTGAAATTCCGTTATTACTTCCCAACTTCCTACTTGGTTATTTTCCTTAAATAACCATCTGTCTACTATTACACTCATTATTTTTCTAGCTAATAGAGCAAGTCCCTCATGTTTGATTTGTTGTAATCTAGAATCAGTTTGTTAAGCCAATTGAAAATCCTTTTGGAGTCTTAATTTACTCTTAATTTAGTCTTAATCTAAACTAAGGGAAGGATTATTTTGGGAAGGATTGACCCCTTGACCCCCAAATAGTGGTCATGACAACAGCAGGCAGCCTTCTCCTTTTCGTCCCTTTAACTGGGAGGGCGCTGACATTTCCCTTTGACTCTGATATTGCCACAGGTTTCTAGCACATACCCAGAAATGCCAATGTTCCCTTCAGTTCCTCATTTGCCAAGGTTTATTTCTTTGTTTAATCAGGAATGGCTTTTGTATTACCAAAAATTTAGGAGCAACTGTCAAGGTAAACTTATCCTTTTTTTCCTTTTAATCTGTTGATCTATTTCTTTTAATCATGAATAGAGTTGATACATTCTTAAAGTCTTTGTCAGATTGTCCTATGAAATTGTTTTTGTCTGGAGTGAATTTGTGCTTTGATTTTTTTTTTCCTTTTCCAGTTTTTACTTTTACCATTAAATTTCTTCATGAGTTTGGGAATTTTTGTGTACATGTTTATTTTATTTGGAGTGAGAAAGCTTTTGGCTTTTCTCACCTCTTTCTCCCTCTCCCTCCTTCTCCTTTGCCCCTCCTTGTCATCCTCTTGCTCCCATGTTTACCCCTCACTCTTAGTGATTTTTAACCCTTACATTTTAAACACACATATTTAACTTATATTTTCCGTCAGCATTTGGGCTTACTTAGAATATATACGCTCCTCCAGAACCAGACAAGATCCTTAGCAAGTTTTCAGTTCTCCTCTTCTTTTCACCCCTAACCTCACAGCCAACTGCCATGTTAAAATCATCTTAGTTTTACTTCAATATTGTTACCATATTTATTTATTTTCACTTTATACAGTAACTATTCTTCTTTACTTAACTGTAAGTCTTATTGGTTTCTTCTCTCAACACTGGTTCCAGTATCACATGCTCTCTTTCTTTCCTGGACCTTTTATATTTTCTGAAATCCACACTGGACTAATTTTCTTAGAAAACATCTGAAAAGCTTTCATTGTCCTTACATTTCCAAAATATTGTGGGTTTTTGCCCTTGAACTTCAAAATAAGCTTGACTTTTTAAGATTCTAGGTTAAAACATATTTTCCTCTCAGTATTTTCAAGACATTACTATCTATTTAGAGTTCCAGGTCACTTGTGACAGAATCTTGCCAACCTGATCTTTTTTCATTGAAAATAACTTGTTTGTTTGTCTCTTTCCTTCTGGAAGCTTCTAGGATTACCCTTTTACTCTTTGATGACAGAAAGCTCATTAGCATGTGACTGAGTTTGGTGCTATTAAAAAAAATGAATCTTGCTTTTCACTTAGTGGATTATCGTCTCCTTTAAAGCCCTGTGAATTTTTCTTCTGTTTCCAAGTGTATCTCTTTGGTTGCACGTGGAAATCCCCAAATAACAGCGGCATAATAATATAGAAGTTAATTTTTTCCCTCACATAGAAGATGTTCAGAAGTAGGCAGTCTCAGAATGGTATGGTTGTTTCACAGTGAGAAGAGGAATTGAGGTTCCTCTTTTTCTGTTGCATATGACCTCCACTCTCAAGATAACCTTGTAATCCAAAATGGTTGCTGGAGCTCCAGCCATCACTTCCAAATTGCAGACTGGAGGAAAGGAAAAAAGCAGGAGGACAAAAATGGATTCCTCTTACCTCAGCCAGCTTCCTTCAAGCAGCCTTTCTCGGAAGGCACACCCAATGATTCCACTCACATCTTCTTGGACAACATTTTGTCACATGACCACACTTAGCAATAGGAGAGTATAGGAAATATAATCTTTTATTCTGTGCAGCAATAAACCTAGCTAAAACCTGAGCTTCTGTTACCAAGGAGGAAAGGGACATCTAGGTAGCTGCCACTGTCTGCCATACCTGCCCTCAATTCTCTCTGTCTTCTGCTTCTAGATGTTGGAACTCCTGGATTTCTTTTCTAGGTCTCAACTTTTCTCTAAGACTTTCCATCTCCTTGCTTATTTGCTGTCTTCAATAACTACTTTTGTAACATGACGGTTTATAGTGTTAATTCTGTGATTTAGCCCATTATTGAGTTGTGGTGCTTGTTTCTTTGTTTGTTCATTTGTTTTGTATGGATCTCATACCTTCAGATTCCAAGAACTCTGTTTGTTCTTTGCATAGCAGTCTGTTCTTAAATGCCTATGATTTCTCAAATTTCCCTGAGGATGTTAATTAAGATGTTTTAAAGTTTTGTGTTGTCTTTGCTGTATCTGTGCATGTCTGTAGAATGTCTACTGGGTCAGTATATGTCAGAATAGACACATATGATACCAATAATTGGGAAATACAACCACTATTGGCATAGTGGTTAAGAACATAAACTTTAAAGCCAACCTGCTGTGGGTTTCAATGTCAGCCTGTTCCTTACTAGCTGTATGATCACGGACCCTATACCGATTTCCTCAACTACAAAGTGGAGATTTTAACCTACACGTTGATGTATTAACATCTGTAAAGCCCTTAGTACAGTGCCTGGCTAATGGTAAGCACTTTATAATTGTTAGCCACTAATATGTATTCTCTGCTTGTATGTGTCTTTTAGACTTGTGTCCTTTGATGTCATTAATTTGCTTGAACTATTTACAGTGTAAGGGTAGTCACCTGTTCTCCATACTTCTAACACATTTATTTTGCAACTTGTCCTCTGCTTTATGGTTCAGTTATTTGTATAAAATACAAAAGAGTTCACTTTTATGCACTTCTGTCAGCCTTTGTCTCTCTGATTTCTTCTAGTGCTTTGAAGCTTAAATAGTTCAGAGATTCACTTCTATGGTTTGCAAGTTTCATATGATTTAACTACATACATTTCATTGACATGATATGTGGAGAATGGTGGGAGGTAGGGATTTAGGCTGATATGTTTTATGTTGTTATTCAATTTTCTCAACACTTTTTATTATTCCATCACTTCACACTGATTTGTGGTTGCTTCTTCATCACAGAGTACATTCTCTGGTGAAATAGAGTTTGTCTGGTCAGTACGTCCATTGATTTATCGTGTGTGTGTGTGTGTGTGTGTGTGTGTGAAAACACATTTTGATTCTTTTCCATTATAGTTTATTACAAGATATTGAATATAGTTCCCTGTGCTATACAGTAAATCCTTGTTGTTTATCTATTTTATATATGGTAGTGTATATCTGTTAATCCCATACTCCCAATTTATCCCTCCCCCACTTGCCCTTTGGTAACCATAAGCTTGTTTTCTATGAGACTCCTTATTTTTAAAAATCTCATTAACTGTCCTCATATATACATATATTTTTTCTTCTGAGCTCCCACACACAAAAGAATCTTGTTAATTTTTGATTAGAATTGTGTTAAACCTATAACTGACTTTCAGATGAATTGACCTCTTTACACGTGCAATATTAACATTTGTGCTAAGACCCAAAGAGAAGCTCTGAGTTTTTAGGCAAGTTACAGGTAGGCAGAGCAAGCTGCCCCAGCTCACACAGACTCTCCCAAGCCTGCCATGGCATTGGCCCCTGCAGGACCTGAAGTGGACAATACTGTCCCTCAGCTCCAGACAAACCCACGCTTCCTTCCTGAGCATTTCCTGGACTAACCACCCTGTAAACATCATTGAGTTTGGTTCTTCTCATGACCACCATGTGAGATACGTTGGGTTGTGCACAGATGCAGAGAGCAAGGTTCAGGGAGCATTGGTGAGTCAGCCTGTGCACAGGAGGGGCACAGCCTGTGTTGAAAGTCAGTTTGGCTGAGCCCAGGGCCATGCTTTTCCCAGCAAGACAGTTTCTGGTGTGCATGTGTACAGCTTGAGTGAAGTTTTAGACAATCTTATGGGCAGAAAAGGAGTCACAGTCCTCTCTGTTCTACTCTCCTGGTACTTCCCAGGGCTGGATGAAATGAAAAAAGGAGATCCCCAGGCTTCTGCGGAGAAAAGGGAACTGGCGTTTCAGGGGGTGGTGTGGGAGGAGTGAGGTAAATGGAAAAGGGCAGGGAGAGTCCCCGGCCCCTGCGTGTGTGTGTGAGCGTGCATGTGCTCACATCCAGAGGAGGACCACACTCCCAACACCCAGTGACTCCCCCAGGCAGATGTGGGTCAGTACCAGGGGGACCTGGGGACAAATCAAATACCAGGCCTCCCTCTTAGATTTTTCTCAACACCGGTGCACTGGGTACCCAATGTGCGATCCAGTGGGAACCCACATCTTCAGAGGCCATTAAGTGCATCTCCCTCACGGTCACGTCCCAGGCACTGAGGCTGAGGAGAAGGGACTGTCCCAGGTGCCAGGCTGAGGCAGCAGTGGGAGCTGGAGCCCAGGCATCAGGGCCACTCCTGGGTCCACCCCACCACGTGGGCCGAGTCCCAAGGGCTGATGCTTCCTTCCGCAGGCCTAGAAGAGGCAGGGTCCTGGAGACAGGATCCCCAAGAGGCGAGGACATGGATCTGGCCTGGCTCCCAGCTGGGGAGGAACACAAGATTCTAGAACAGTGAGGAGTCCAGACCCTACCCAGGCCTGGACCCACCTGAGCCAGCCACCTGCTCTTCCAGAGATGGCGCTGCCCCGGGGGCTGCTCCCCCTGGCCCTGCTGCTGCTCTGCTGGGGGCCCTGCGTGGCAGGGGCCCAAGGTGAGCCCGATCGCTCCCTCCCCCTCTCCCTCCGCCTTCTCACTGCTGCGCCCCATCCCCGAGGAAGCTCCAGACCCTACGCTCCAGCCTTCCCTCCCTTCCTTCCTTGCCCCCCGCAACCCCTGCTATTTCTTTTCTCTCCTGGTCGTCCCTGGAGTCCCCTCTTCCCTCCTCCCACGTTCCCGCTCATTCTTCTCTGGCCTCCTGTGAAGGCCCTCTCCAGTTGTGTGGCTTCTCTGCCCACATTTCTCACTGCGGCATCTGAGGCCTCTGACCTCCTGGCTGGCCATTCCAGTCCTTTCTCTGACCCTCCCTCGCCCCCAGACATCGGCACCTAGACGGCCTCAACCAGTTCCCATCACGGCACCTTTGCTCCTGGGGACCCTCGGCCTGGGGGGTCTCTCCTCCTGCCTGGAGGCCCTGCTGAGATGCTCCCCGGGCTCTTCAGGCCCATGAACCCCCCTCCCCAAGGGTTCATTGAGAGCTTGGCTCCCCTGATAACCCTGGAGACCACGCTCCCTTTCCCAGCAGCTGACCACGAGAGCAGGGTGGGGACGTCCCAGAGTAAGGCCCTGCCACACTGCCCCTTAGGGGTGGGTTTGTGCCTCTGCTCCCAGGCTGCGGCACCCAGGGGCCCAGGGACAGGGCATGTGCCTGATGCATGTCTCCACCCTGGGGTGGGAGGGACCCTGTTCCAGGAGCAGGGCAAGGTGGGGACTCAGGACATACACTGTGAATCAACTAGCCTATGTGTTTCTGTGCAGACAGGAGGGTCCGCGGCTGGCACCCTCACAGCTGCAGAGCCCCCAGCCCCGCCCAGGGCTCCTGGGGACCTGTCTGGCCTCCAGGAGCCTCTACGGGACTCTGGGAGACTCCTCCCCAGTGCCACATACGAGGAGGGACTGGGAGGGGCGGTGACAAGGGACATCTGGAGGGGAGAGGTGTGACCCGCTTTCTGCCTCCCCCTGTCAGGGACCTTCCCCCTGCAGACCCTGCGCTGCTATAACGACTACACCAGCCGCATCGTCTGCAGGTGGGCGGACACCCAGGACTCCCAGCGGCTGGTCAACGTGACCCTCCACCGCAGGCTGAACAGGCGAGTGAGGCCGGACCTGGGGCCGGAGGGCAGGAAGGGCCTCTGCTGTGGGGACTGTGCCGGGGTCGGGGCTGGACGGGGGTCGGGGCAGGGAGGCCCCTGCCCAGGAGCTGCTGCCCCATCAGGCGGCCTGCCACGCCCGCGGGCTGGTGTCTGACATCAGGTTTGGGGGAAGAGCCTCCTGTGTTAATATCGTTGTTATGATGGTGATGGTGATAATCTTCTCTTGTTTTGTCACAATTGAACAAGATCACCAGGCAGAAATCGATCTCGGTTCATCCTCCCTGTGAGGCGGGCAGGGATATGATGCCCAATTCACAGATGAGGAAACCGAGGCCGTGGAGGTGAGGTCCCTCCCCCAGGCCACACGGTGGGGAAGTGGCCTGAGCGGGACCAGTGTCCTGCGTCCAGCCTGCATGGCAGGGCTCCACGTGCCCCCCGGGCCCTGCCACCTGCAGAGTGGCGGTTTCTCCTCTCTCCTCACAGCATCTCCCGGGCCTACCCCATTCGGGAAGGTGCTCCCACCATTCTGGGATTTGGTGAGAGTCTGACTCACCATAATAGAAATAATGAAACAGCTGGCACCACAGGGTCTGGGGTGTGCCCTGGAGGCCGCCCCTGGGAAGGAGCCGCTCTCACCCCACAGCGTCACTGCCCTTCCGCTCTCTCTCCTGCCCTCCCGGGAGCCTCAGTCTTCCTTGTCCACTGTCCTCAGCCCCCACCCCACCTCCCACCCTTAGCTGTGACCTACTTCCTTCTGCTCGGGGACAACAGATCCTCCCACCCCGACCCCTAGCCCTCCACCTCACACGTCTGCCGCCTTCCTGGCCCCGCCCTGCAGGATCTGTCCTGTCCCAGGGCTGCCTGAGGCTGCAGCTGGAGTCCCACCTGGTCTTGCTGCTCAAGGACATCGCTGCCACCACAGTCCCCACTGTTTTGTTTTTCAGTCGCCTTTCCCTCCTTTCCTTCTCCACCACAGCATTCAATCCATCAGCAAATACTGTCAACTTTATCTTCAAATAGAATGTGAATCTGGCTAACGCCACGGTTCCAAACACTTCTTATCACTGAGATAGCCCAAAAGCCTCCTAACTGGTCCCTCCCCTTCCAATATTGCCACCCCCTGCGACCCAATGTATCCACAGCCCAGGAGCCAGAGGAATCCTTTCAAAGCATGCCAAAATGTCACTCCTTTGCTCATAACTCTGAATTTTCCCCAGTTCCAGTGAAATCAAAATAATCATATTTCCTTAAATTCCTTTTGAGCACTGGCCTCCCATCACCTCCCACAACTAGGCTTCTAGACCTCCCACCCTTACATCTCTACTCTGTGCACACTGGTTAACTGCCTAGTTATACAGCACTCCAAACCTGTGCCTACCCCAGGGCCTTTGCACTTGCTGTTCCCTTTCACTGAAATCCCCTTTCCCCGAAATCCCCTTTCAGAATCCGCATGGAGTCCTCTCTCATCTCCTCAGATGTCACCTTTTCTAAGAGACCTTTCCTGCCTCCCTTATTTCGAATTATATCCCCAACCCAGCCCTTCTGGCCTCTTCATACCTCTTTCCTTCTTGACTTGTCTATGCACAGTGTTCTCCATTTGACACACGACCTAGTTTCTTCAGTTGTTTCATGTGTGTCTCCCTCTATTAGGATGTCAGCTCTGTTGACAGGGATTTGTGTGTTTTGTTCCCTGCCAGGCCCCCTGATCCTAAACAAAGCCTTACACATGGGAACCACTCAATAATGTTTGTGAATGAGTGATTCTTCTTCTCTCTGGGCTAACCTGCATCCTCTCCTGACAGGGGCCTTCCACAGCCAGTGTCCTGCGATCTCAATGATGGCATGCCCTGGTTCGATGGCCATTGTCCCGGCTGTGTGCCCAGAATATGTGTCATTCCCTACGAAGTTTTTGTCATTGCTGACCATGACTACTTCTCATTCCGACCAGACCAGCCTCTGGGTGCCCGGCTCACCGTTACTCTGAGTCAGCATGGTGAGGCCTGGGGGCCCTGGCCAAGGGTGGTCCCCTGTGTGGACAGGGGTGTCCAGGCTGCAAGAGATGGGCCAGGGAGGGAGATCCTTCAAGGGGTGTAGATAGCGGCTTGAGTTGGGTTTGGTTCTTGGGGGAAGAGGATACAGTCTCCTTAGATGGAGGCATTGGGTCAGGTTCAAGGTGAGGAGCCCCAGCCAAAGGTACCCACCCCCTCCCAGATGCTCCAGCACCTGCCAAGTTATTGCCTTCCAGACCTGAGGCTTCCCGTCTAGAAGAACAGTCCTTCCTAGTCAGATACAAACTTTCTTCTTTCATCAATTTGGTCTCATGGAACGTCTGTGACAACCCATTTAATAGATGAGGCATTTGAGGCCCAGAGCAATTACATAACTTTTCCAAAGTGCCACCATGAGCCATGATGCTAGTGATGGGCCGGACTTGCCGAGTGCTCTCTGCATGTTGGAGATGAAGGTCATGCCCTTACTGCCCTTGCTGCGCGGCCCCCAGTGTGTGCGCTGCGTGTCCACAGAGCCTAAGAAAGTCAATGGTCTTGGGTGGGAGTCGATGATTACTTTATATAAATAGTCGGGCTTCATTTAACTGTACCTCAGACAGAAATACAACCAGCACTTTCATTACATTAATTCAATTATATTTGTGCTTAGAATGATCCTGAAATAAACATGGGGTCATTTTTAAAAGTTAGTATCGGGCTTCCCTGGTGGCGCAGTGGTTGAGAGTCCGCCTGCCGATGCAGGGGACACGGGTTCGTGCCCCGGTCCGGGAAGATCCCACATGCCGCGGAGCGGCTGGGCCTGTGAGCCATGGCCGCTGTGATGAAACAGGCTGAGAGAGCAGGAACTTGCCCAAGGTTAGGTACTCAGATGCTAGTGTCTGAATTTATTGTCCTGGATCCCAAACCCTGGGCCACCTGCTGCTCCTTGCAAGTGTCGGATGGGGAAGGGGCTCCAGGCTTTGCTTCCCGCCTCTGTTCATCACAGCAGCACAGCTGTTGCCTGGAGGAGGGGATGAGTTAGGCTGTGATGAATTCACTCCAAACAATGTCTCAAAACATGTGTCTGATGGATGAGAAGGGGTCCCGTCCCGGTGGAGCTCAGAGCGTACAGGGCGGGACACACCAGATGTTGTCGGGTGTGATCACTTATTGAAGGCGGGTGCGTGCCACGTGCCGAGGGGCAGTGGACAAGGGGCCCCTGGGAGGTCAGGACAGGCTTCCCCAAGGAGGGAGCTTTGTAGGGAGATCTGAAGGGTGGGAGGGATGAGAGTGGGAAGAGCATCCTTGGCAGAGCAAGGAGTGTGTGCAAAGGCTGGGCGACTCGGGAGGACGAGGCAGGTTGGGAAAACCGCAAGTAATTGTGTCTCAGAAGCATCAACTTCAAGAGGATTGGGCAGTGGTAAGGAGGGGGGCAGGGAAGGCAGGGGCCTGACCTGGAGAGGCTTCTGTGCTCTGCAAAGGAGTTGTTTAGGGGTCAACACCTAGACGATGGAGAGCCACTGAAAGGGCATGTCATGATCAGATGTGGGTGTGATGATGTCAGAGGTGGGCGATGTACAGTGTAGATGGCAGGCGACAGGAGGTGGTGGGAGGACGGAGAACAGAATGTGACCTAAGGTACTCATCCCAGAGAGAAATGATAGGGATTCAACTGCCGTACGGCCAAGGGATGGGAAATTGGAGGGATACAAATCAAAGTTAGGATATACAAGCAATTCATTCATTAATCTGCTCTTCAATAGAACACTTGCACATACAGGAAAGCAGTGAACAAGCCATCAGTGTCCCTGGCCCTGTGAAGCTTAGGAGTGATGACAGGTGTCATGGTTGAGATGGGGACCACTTAGAAATGGCGAGGGCAGTGTGGCATTTGCCTTCTGGAGCATATGTTGAGCGGGAAGTTCAGTTTTAGCCCAAACCATTTAGGCAATGAATCAGGGAGGCCTTGAGGTGCTGGGGAACGGAGAGATGTGCATCTGATCTGCTCTGAGGTTACACATGTGGGGATCTGAATATTTCACTTCCTCTGTCACCTCCACCTGTGAAATGAGCTCATGGACTACATCTCTCAGGTTGGATGCATAGGTTTTCCATTGGTTTCCCAGCCTGTTCAGTTGGGAGCAGCTTCCTAGGGCTCCAGGCTGACAAGGAGTCCCACTGCATGACAGGCTCGGGGGCTAGGAGTGCATGATTGATCAGTGATGCCTGCTGGGGCCGGGGCTGGGGCAGCAGGGCTCTGGATCTGCCATTCTGGGCTGAAAATTTTCTGAGGCTCCAGCTCTGACACGCTCTATCATGCCCTGGCCCCTGTCCAGCATAGAATATTGACATCTCGTTCCTCCCTTACGGAATTTTTTGTGTTGGAAAGTCATCTCTCAGCATTCAGATATAGAAGCTTCAGGAAGTCTGCAGCCATGCCATTCATGGATGACTCTGCTCACCCAATCCTGTAGGTCCCAGCAGGTGTCTGCCTGCTGTTGGTGATGGAATGATTTCATGAAAATCTCTGAAGGTGGACCTACATGTACTCATTCATTTATTCCTTCATTGATTCATTCACTTTGTCCCCATATGCAATGAACCACTCATCTCAGGCCCTGGGGAGAGGCAAGGGGGTCAGGACCCCACCCCTGACATCCACAAGCTCCTGGACTACTTGAGGGGGCAGATGTGGAAGCATCTATATCCTCCAGGGCTATAAGGATCATACAAAGGGCTATGGTGGGGCAGGAAAAGGAGCAAGGGATTCTGCCTGGGGGAGGGGTCCAAGAATGTTCTAGCGGAGGAGACATGTCTGCTGGGCACTGAGAAGTGCAGGATGACACTGGACACTGAAATAAGAAAGTGTGGACAGGAGAGGGAGTAACATGAGTCACAGCGTCCTCTGCTGGGAAGGAGGCCACACACACCTCCTCATGGGCAGTGGGGACAGGAGGAAGCTCCACTTGGAGTGTAACTGGCAGCCCTTTGCATGGAGCCCAGCAATCTGCACGTCTTCATTCACATGCACATTGGATCCTCACAATTCAGCAGATGAAGGTCTGAGGCCCACAGAGGTGAGGGGTCTCTCCGAGGTCGCTCAGTCCGTGGCGGTAGTGGTTGGCCTGGAACCCAGGTCTGTCCACACATGGGCCATGCAGGCCCTGAACCTCCCACACAGTCGTCCAGCCCCTTAGGGACCCTTTCCTTCCTCTCCCTCCAGTGCAGCCCCCCGCACCCAGGGACCTCAACATCAGTGCTGCTGGGGACAGTTTCCTGCTGTCCTGGAATGTGGCCCATGGGGGTTCCCAGAGCCACTGGCTGTCCAGCCTGGAGTTTGAGGTGGTCTACAGGAGGCTTCAGGACTCCTGGGAGGTAGGGACCCCACCAGCTGTGCCCTGCGCCCACGGGGACCTGGCCCAGCCGTCCCTGCTCCAGCAACCCCTCTCTCCCCCAGGACGCCCCCACCATCTACTCCAGCGCCTCCCGGGCCATCCTGGGGCCACAGCACCTCATGCCCAGCAGCACCTATGTGGCCCGAGTGCGCACCAGGCTGGCCCCGGGCTCGGGGCTCTCGGGACGGCCCAGCCAGTGGAGCACAGAGGTTCGCTGGGCCTCCCCGCCAGGTAACAGAGTCGGAATGGGACACTGCCCCCCTGTGCGGAGGGCATCTCATTACAGCTCCTGGGCAGAAGGCGTCCAGGGGTCCGCACCATGGGATCCACGGAGGCTCTGAGCCATGTGTTCACAGTGACTTCCCTGGCCCACCCCGTCCCTACCGTGACTCTGCAGAGGCAGCGGCTGCATCTTACTCGCTTCTGGGACCCAGTTTGTTGCCCACTTTCTGTGGAGGAACAATTACAGTTTAATCACAATGGCATATGAGCATCTGTGTTTTCGTGAGAGCTGCACCATCCACAGACATACCAACGTGATTGCGTTAAATTCCCAAACCCTGAATCTGACATGCCCTCCCAGCTTTGCACAGGGGGGTGTGAAGGCTCACAGAATTCACTCTCTGACCTGTGTTTACACAGCTGGCCCTTTGGGCTGAGTTCAACCCCTGGTCTTTTTGGCCCCAATGCCCATAATCTCTCTGTGATGAGCCTCATGGTGGGCCCACTGAGGGCTAGGGAATGAATGAATAAGGAATGAATGAAGGACTGTCTCCCTCCCAGGGAATGAGTCCCAGCCCCAGAACCTCCAGTGCTTCTTCGACGGGGCTGCCCTGCTGCGCTGCTCCTGGGAAGTGAGGTCCGAGGTGACCAGCTCGGTCTTCTTCACCCTCTTTTACAAGTCCGGCCCCAGTGCAAGGTGAGTGTCCCCTGCCTCTGTCCCCTCTGCTCCTCTAGGCCTAGCCCTCTCCTGACCTCCTCCTGCCCCTGGGGGCCCAGCAGAAGCCACAGTTCATCCGGAGGTCTCATTCCCTCATGTGGCCCTGCCTCCCCCTGCCTCACCTTTGCCGTGATCCTCAGGGAGGAAGAATGTTCCCCAGTGCAGACAGAGAAGACCAGCAGCCCTTACGTCCGGCAATGCTGCCAGATTCCCGTGCCTGACCCCAGGAACCACAGCCAGTACATTGTCTCTGTTCGACCGAAAGCGGAAGAGAAACTTATAAAGAGCTCAGATAACAGTGAGTTTGCCCCCAGCCTTCTGCACGGAGAGTCTTGTGACAGCACTGTTTCCTTTGTAACCCGTATAAACTCAGGGTTCCCCAGGGCCCAGTCTTCATGTTTGTCACTTTCAGTGAAAAGTCCAGGGAGCGAATTGAACAAACATGATTCCCATGGGTCCTGGAAGTTCTCAAGTAGCAATAATGCAACAATGACAATGGTCAATAACATGAAGGAAGATGCAATTGATCTTCTCAAGAATATCAATATTAAAAGCTTGACCTCATTCTTTTAACTCTATTTTCCCTTCCAGCTTTGCAGCTGCTCTGAAGTTCCCACTGTTGCCTGTGGCCTCTTGGTCGTCCCACCAAATTTTCCCTTTCTTTCCCTATTTGATTTTTCTCTTTCAGGTTTCCAAAGTCCTCCCCTGACTGATATTTTCAGTCTTCAAGATAATTGATCTATGATTTACTTCTTCATAGAGCGTATGCAAATGGACTGGGGACTAGCGCGTATGCAAATGGACTGTAATTCCTTACAGGTTAATTTTCCTGATTCCTGGTACATAGCAAGGACCTTATGCAAAGGACTCTCCTGCATTGCTTCATGATGATCAAGTTCTTCTGCCCAGTCTTTAGTGTGTGTCAGAGACAGCAGCCAGTTTGTCCTAGTCACCTGGGTTTGAATCCACTACTTACTCATTGGGATCCTCCAGGTTGCAATCTTTGTCTCTACCGCTTGTTAGCTGCTTGTCCTTAGCAAGTTACCTGATCGTTCTGGGGCTCAGTTCTCTGTCTGAGAAGTGGACAAATTGTGTATTTACTACATAGGGCTGCTGTTAGAATTGAGAGAAATAATTCATGTAGATTGAGCATTCTGCCAATACTGTAGATTAGAAAAAATTAATAGTAACTTTATTTCTACTTAAATACTAGGGGTAACCCATACTTTTGGTCACTTCACTACAAAACAAGTGTATCTCAGCATCTCCCAAGAGAAGGGCGGCTCAGGTCAAAATAGATGAGATGGTGAAGTGGGGCTTCAAAGACCCTGAGATGGTGAAACCTGGGGTCCTGGGTCAGTGGAGAGAGCACCTGTGACCAGCATGGAACACAAGGGATATTCCACTGGAGGAATGTTAGAAATGATGTTCTCTAAAAGTTTCCCTCCCTCCAGTCCAGATGGCTTCTCCAACCCTCAACCTGACCAAGGGCAGAGACGGCTACATCCTGCACTGGAAAGAAGAAAAAATGAACTATGAACACATAGCTTGCATCTTCCAGGTCCAGTACAAGAAAGAAGCAGCCTCATGGGAGGTGAGGGCCTGTGCCTGAGGAGTGGCCTGGATGGGGAAAGGGGGAAACGAGAAAGACCAGGGAGAGTGCCACCTGCCAGGTTCCTGGCTCCCAGCAGGTGCCCAGTCAGAGGGAGCCACTGGGACTTGGTGGTCATGCCCCTGTGCAGTCAGCAGGTCACTGTCCCTTCCCTTGGTGAAGGAACTGAGACTCACAGAGCTGACGTGAACTTGACCAAAATGAACGCGTGACCCTGAATCGCAAAGGAGCTGTAGACCTCAGGACGAGAGACAGGCAGAGGAAGGGTTTTCAAAAGTCATAAAGGGGGCATTTCTTCGCGAGAATCTCATCCAGAATGCAAATGTGCAGCTGCTAAGAGGGGAGCTGCTCCCTGCGGGGTGCGCAGGGCTCCAGCCTGGGACTCAGTATCTGGGCCCCACCCCCAGGTATCCATCAGGGCCTGTGGGCAGAGCCTGGGGCTCCACAGAGGCCAGTTCAGAAACCTCGGAGCCAGCCCCAGACCTTCAGGCTGGAAATGGGGAAACTGAGGCCAGAAGGGGGTGTGTCAGTGGTGGAGCTGGAAGTGGTCCCTGGGCTCCTGAACATCTGTCTAAGGGTCCAGAGTCCAGTCATCTTGCACTGCACTCCTGGGAAGGCCATAATTAGGGTCCAGGCTGTCCCAGGAGGAGCTGGGAGGCTGAGTGGGGACATGGTGACTGACTCCTCACGGTCTCTGGGCCTCGGTGTTGTCATATGTCACGGGGTGCATTGCCTGTGGGCACTGGAGTATGGTCCTCCGTGGTGGGAGTGATGCTGCCTCAGATCTGATGTGACTACAAGCTGGGGACTGATGGGTAGCAGAAAATCTGGGGTACTGAGGCGGGAGGGCTTCACAGCTGTGCCCACGTGCACCAGACCTCAGCACATCTGCTCACACACCTGCACCCACAGGAGACCAAGACAGAGGACTTCCAGAACGCCCACAGCATGTGCCTGCCACCTCTGGAGCCTGCCACCAGGTACCAGGCCAGAGTGAGAGTCAAACCTGACCCCCGAGGCTACAACGGGATCTGGAGCGAGTGGAGTGAGGAGAGCTCCTGGGACACTGAGTGGGGTATGTCCTCCCGGCCCCCACTCACCCCTCCAGGCACAGCCCCACTGGGCAGAGGACGGGGATGATATGGGCATGAGATGTAATCCCACCCCAGGCTAGCATCCTTCCCTGCCAGGTGTCATTAGGGATGAGAAAGTGACACCTGGTGTGCAACACGGACTGCAGGTGAGGTCTCGAGAGGGCAGAGGAGAGCACGTCTCACCAACAGGTCTCCCTAAGCCTGGACCTTAGCCCTCTGTTAATATGGCCCATGCTTCCCATGCTTCCATTAGCTTTTGTAGCAGCTACTACCCAGGGAGCACCCAGCCCGAGTTTTCTGTTACCATGAAGAGCTACAGACTGGGGCCTGGGATTGGAAAGCTTTGGTCTGATTTCTCAACCTTCCCTCAATCTGCACTTGCTAATTTCATTCATCTGTCACCATCACCATAGCGGCCACCAGGAGACAAGTACAGAACAAGGTCCAGGAGGTGGTGGCAGAGAGAGGAAAAAGTGTTGGCAGCAAAAAAATAAAAATAAAAAAAAATAAGTGTTGGCAGCAAGGTCCCCCAGCCAGCCATAGCAAGGAAAGAGCACGAGGAAGAGGGCCCCAACCAAGCAGAAAGAAGGGCTGGGCCCCTGGACCTAAGGGAAGGAGACCAGGGGAGTCCTGGAGGTGCCCAGCCTCTGAGGGGCTTGAGGCCAAGTGGAGAGTCGTGAGGGCCCCTGATGGGCCTTTGCACCTTCTGGTTCCTCCACCATCACCCCTTTCCCCGTCTCGGCCTCTCCAGGCCTCCCTGTTCTTGATGACCACCTTCTATGCTGCCTCCTTCAGGAAGTGCCCTATGATTGCCTCTGGCTGCAGTCACTGCCCACTTACAGCAACACCAGCTACTGCACAGGATCTAACCCTCTGTGTCCTGACAGCAATCCAGCACTGTGGGTGGCTCAGACAAATGTCCTCTTCTTCTTAGGCTGCTTCTGGCCTCTTCTTCCCCTCTGCATGCCAAGGCAGCAAATTCACCTCACCTCCTGAGCCCCCAGCCCTTTCCCTCCCCAAAAGCTAATGCTCCTGTTTCCTCCTGGCTGCCTGGAAGTGCTGCCCATGTGGGTCCTGGCGCTCACCCTGGTCATCAGCACCTTGATCCTGCTCGTGTCCCTGCGCTTCTGTGGCATCTACGGGTACAGGTAAGGTGACTCCAAGATGGAGGAGGGCGCTACCCAGGGCCCCAGACAATGCCAGGGACCCCACAGCTGACTTTCTCTAGTCTCTGCTCTGCAACTCACACCCTGTGGGGCCTTGGTCAAAGCTGCCCGTTCCCTGGGCTTTACTTTCACCTCGGTACATGAGCACGAGGCAGCTGCCCTGAGGTCTTGGGCAGCGGTCACCTCCCTGCTGTCTTTCCAGGCTGAACCAGAAGTGGGAGGAGAAAATCCCCAACCCGAGCAAGAGCCACCTGTTCCAGGTAGGGGCTGGCTGTGCTCCTGCGCCCACGTCCCCACACCCGTGTCCTCCTCCCCTTCCGGTGGGCCTTGAGTAGGGGTGGTATGTGGCCAGGTCAGGGGCTGGGAAGCTCTAAGAGCCGGGCCGGCCCCTGCAAGCCCAGCACTGCGATCCCCTGGGCCCCTCCGATGCACAGGGTACCCCGCCCGGGGGGACTCACGTGGAACAGCAGAGAGGGCTGGCGTGGGGATGCCAGGACCTGGGGGGCGCAAGGAGAGCCTTAGTCACATAGGAGGCAGGAGGGGTGGTGGGAAGCAGCGTGGCTTCCCCAGGACAGGGCAGCAGCGCTGAGCTCTGAAGAATGGAGGGTGGTGGCAGGTGGGAGAGGCCACTGCTGGCAGAAGGCGAGTGGAGGGTGGAGACAAGACCCCTTGGAGAGGGGACCTGAGGGGCGTGGGCGGTGAGTCTGGGGTGCAGCACGGGAGGCTGAGAGGACACCGGGGAGGGCGCCGGCACGTGGGGGGCGGGAGCCTTTTGGTCAGGCAGGTAGGGCCAGGACGGCCTTGGGAGGGTCTCACGGCCAGTGTGGAGGAGACTAGGGGTGAGCATGGAGACAGGGACAGCCCAGATGGGCGTCCTCGTGGGCGCAGGCTGCCCGTCCTTGCTGCCCAGGGCCCTGGGCCAAGTCCCAGCCCCTCTCTGGCCTTGTGTTCCTGGGGTCAGGAGGGTATGGTCGCTGCTGCCCATGCTGAGATGCCGCCACGTCTGGGGGCTGCTGAACCCTCGCCACCCTCAAGGCCCTCCCCCCACCTCACCTCCTGGGGTGCCCCCACCCCACAGGCACAAATGCCCTCTCTCCCCACAGAACGGGCGCGCTGGGCTCCGGCTCCCACAGGGCACGCGCGTCGTCGGCAGCGGGAGCCACGCACACAGGGGGCTCTGGGGCGGCAGCTTCGCTCAGCCGGAGGGGTGAGTGTCAGCGCGGGACCCCTAGGAAGTGGGACGGTGGCTCCCTCCTGCACGTCGGGGCTCAGGGGAGGTGGCCTCGGACTGGGGCTCAATGGGAACAGGGCCTTAGAGGCTGACTGCACTAAAGCAAGAGGTGTCCTGGCTGCATGGCGGGAGGAGCTTCCCGATTCCCAGCTTAGGGAGGGTCGTGGCCAGAAGCCGGAGACTGGAGCAGACGACCTCCCCCGGCCCTGCTGCCCAGGGAGACGCCACGCTGCCTTGGTCCCACTGGGTGGCAGAGGATCTGCGAAACCTCATGGCCTCAGCACCTGAGCGGCCGGCTCACCACTAAGCTTCAGGTGGGGCAGGTGAAGGCCGAGGGCATGGCCGAGCCCAGGCTGGGCGCTGACGCTGCGTGCTGGCAAGGAGAGGGAGGTGGGAGGGGCCGCAGCTGGCAGAGCATGACCTTGAAGGAGAGTGCCGGCGCTGGAGGGGAACCACAGGGAGGCTGCAGGAGCGCCCGGTCTCCTGTTCCCGGCCGGCTCCCTCACCTCGCCCTGCTCTGCGTTTCCTGTGAGCTCTGGGTGGAGCCCGGCCTCCATCCCACCCCCTGGCTCCCTGTGCGCGAGCTGAGGCGTCTGTCAAGGGTGGTGCCAGTGTCCCTGCCCTTGTTCTCCCCACAGGGCGTCCCCTGTAGACATCGGGCACAGTGAGGTGTCACCTCTCACCACAGAAGACCCTAAAGATGCCTGTGACTCGTCATCTGAGCCTGACATGACTCTGGTCACCTCGGACCTCCGCACGGAGCAGCCACCCAGGCCCCCGCCAGAGCTGGCCACCCCGGCAAGCAGGCCTGAGAGCCAGGCTTCCGGCTTTGATTTCAATGGCCCCTACCTGGGGCCACTTGACAGCCGCTCCCTGCCGGACATCGTGGGCCAGCAGGGGCCCCTACGGACAGGCATGAGCAGGAAACCGCAGCCCCCAGGGTCCCTGGAGTACCTGTGTCTGCCCACAGGGGGGCAGGTGCAGCTGGTCCCACTGGCCCAGGTGATGGGGCTGGGCAAAGCCAGGGATGCGGACCTGAGGCCCAGCCCAGGCACCGAGGGGAGCCCTTCCCTGGAGCCAGGGGCAGGCCCTGCCTCTCCTGAGCCTGAGGTGATGGTGGGTGGTCAAGGCCCGAAGGACAGGGCCCCCCCAGGTCTGCCCACTGGCTCTCGGGGTCCTGAGGAAGGCACTGTGGCCACTGGTTACGTCACCACTGCAGAGCTGACATTCACCCCACCCACAAGGGCCCCATCTCCTTCCCAGGCTCCCCCTCTGAGCCTCCCTTCAGACCGGAACCCCAGCCTCTGTCCTGGACTGGCTGATGGTCCCCCTGGATCCCTAGCCCCACTGAAGCCAGAGTTCGAGGGCTATGTGGATCTCCCTCCAACCGCAGGCCAGTTTCCCCAGTCCCCTCTAGCCAGCCCTGCCCCTCCTGCAGCCAGCAGTCCTGTCCTGGGCCCAGGGCCGCCCCGGGCAGGTGTATTCTCAGTCTCCCCAACCCCTGAGGGGCTCCTCGTGCTGCAGCAGGTGGGTGACTACTGTTTCCTCCCTGGCCCAGGGTCTGGCCCTCTCTCACCCCAGAGTAAGCCCACCTCCCCAGGACCCTGTCCTGAGATCAAGGACCTCAACCAGGTGTTCCAGGCCAAGAAGCCCCCATCTCAGGCCATTCCCCAGGTGCCGGCCATTCACCAGGTGCCGGCCATTCAGCTCTTCAAAGCCCTGAAGCAGCAGGATTACTTGTCACTGCCCCCTTGGGATGTCAGCAGGCCTGGGGAGGTGCGCTGAGACCCTGTAGATGTTGAGGGAGGGGAATAGAAGGACAGGGTCTGCCTTTCCTCCCGCCCTGCCTTTCCCTCCTGCCAGCCCCTGGTCCCTTCCATGGTCCTTTCCGCAAAGCCAAGGAGAAGTTTCCATGTTGTAACGTGGAGATCAGAAAAACAAGTCAACCACCTACCTCCTCCCTTGACCTTCAGCAAGGTCAAGCTCCTCTTTCTCTCCCTCCTCCTCTGCCACACAGGCACGCGCACACACACACACACTGTTCTTTCAAATTCACTTCCTTTAGGTTCTGAATTATTAGAGCTTTATACACATACCCATTTCATTTGCCCCCATTTTCCTTTTTTTCCCAGTTTCCCTGCTTTTCCTATTGTCTTCTCTTTCCACTGATTTATCATTAGAGTGAGTTTGAGGTCTGGGCTAAGCCTATTCTGAGATGCCATGTCTCAGTCAGAGCCTATTCAGATGCTGACATGTCTGGTTTCATGGAGGACTTCTGTCTGTCCCTGGCGGGCTTGAACACACACGACAAGATTCCAGCCCAGGGACTTCCCTGGCGGTCCAGTGATTAAGACTCCGCCCTTCCAATGCAGGGGGCGCCGGTTGGATCTCTGCTCAGGGAACAAAGATCCCACATGCCATACCCTGTGGTGTGGCCCACTGCAGGGAGGGGAAGAGATTCCAGCCCTGAGGCAGGAGGCAGAAGGCGTGGGGTGAGGGCTTGGGGGTTTCAGGCTTGGAAGAGCAGCCCTGGACTCAGCATGCTTCTGTCGGGCGCTGCAGCCCCAGACATGGTAGCAAAGCACCAGCCTCCATTGTCACTCCAAGAAATGGGCATGGTGTGAGAAGCATTGTTCTGAGCTCATAGGAAGCCCTGCTAGTCTCACAGAGGTGACTGGGGAGCCTCAAGGACCCCAGGCCCTGCATCCTGTAGAGGCCACTGACCTGAGCAGTGGACAGTGCCAGCTCCTGGTTGAAGTGATGTCCTTCCTACACCCAGGCTGGTGGGACCTGGAGAAATTCAGGAGGGGAGGGGAGTCCAGAACCCACATCAACTGCAGAAAAGTTGGAAAGAACTGCTCAACAAGGGAAAAAGGAAAATGACCCAAGGGCATGTACACTTGGGCTTATAGTCCAAACCTCCCAGTTGCCCTTCCTCCAGAAAGACCTTACAAATGCCATGTCCACCAGCCATGTACAAGGAGCTTTTCGTCTACGGCTTGGCTTACGCTGGGGATCATGGTTCTTTTAAATCTTTGCCTTTCTGATATGCAAAAAAAAATAGCATTAACTTGTTTTAATTTGCATTATTTGAGAACTATCATGTTTGCACATATTTTCATAGTTCTTGGGCGTTTGTATTTTTTTTACTGACCCGTTAAGGTCTTCATTGTGTTGGATGTCCCCTTTTTTCTGATTAAGCTTTAAAAACTATTTAGCTCCTGCCTTTCATAGATGGTGTAAATTTGTTTTCCTCGTTTGTGGTTTGTCTCTTAATTTTGTATGTGACGCTTTTGGATGTATTCAATGTAGACTTGTCTGAGTGATCAGATAGATCTACGGGTGAACTTCTTCATGCTTTCACTTGGGGTGTCAAATTGACAAAGCCCTTCCCCACTTCAAAATTGCATTTGTCCAAAGTTATATTTTTTTCTGGTTCTTTTTGTGTTTCAAGCTTTTCATGTGAAGTTGTAGTGATTTTGGAATATATGCATGTGAAACGGAAAGCCAGTTTTATGTTTCCCCTAAACGAGTCGCCTGGGTGTTCCGGCATCATTGACTGAATTGCCCATTCTTCGTCCATGTATCTGAAAGGTCACATTTATGATATAGAAAATCCATGTGTATTGTCATTTTCTAGGCTTTCCTTTTTATTAAGTTGTCCTCTCCATGGCACCCCACCATTCTAACTGTTCTAGCTTTATAATATGTTTTAATAGGTGGCAGAGCAAATGTTCTTGTTCCTTTTGTCCACAAATCCCTGTTCATTACAGCATTGTCTGTGGTCAAAGAAAATGATAAACAATTTAAATCCTCACCAATAGTGAAATTAATCACAACATTTGAGTCCATTCTAAGGTGGAATCCTGTGTTCAAAATGAATGAGGTGGGGGACTTCCCTGGTGGTGCAGTGGTTAAGAATCCACCTGCCAATGCAGAGGATACGGGTTCGAGCCCTGGTCCGGGAAGATCCCACATGCCGCGGAGCAACTAAGCCCGTGCACCACAACTACTGAGCCTGCGCTCTAGAGGCCGCAAGCCACAACTACTGAGCCCGTGTGCCACAACTACTGAAGCCCGCGCACCTAGAGCACGTGCTCTGCAGCAAGAGAAGCGACCACAATGAGAAGCCCGTGCATCACAATGAAGAGTAATCCCCTCTCGCTGCAACTAGAGAAAGCCGGCCTGCAGCAACGAAGACCCAACACAGCCAAAAATAAATAAATAAATAGGAAAAAAATCTAAAAAAGAGTGTCTCTCTGTGAACTGAACAAAGGCACTTTAACAGTCAGGCAGAGAGGCAGGGTTCCCTGTGGCAGGCCATTATGTATGCTTACAGCTATAGACAATGATTGTAATAAAAAAAGCAACAAAAAGCAAGGGTTAAAGTAAAAGAAACAGATCCAACGTGGAGTCAGAATTGGCTCTTCCCTGTTTCAGAATGACGTATTATTGACAGTTTACACAATCTAGAGTTAAGCGTCCTTACGGGATCAAGAAGGAATGTTGTCTTTTGTTGTCTTGTCGATGCTGGGAGAATGTCGCGCTTTGTAGTTGAGCAGGTATTGCTGCTGATCTACAATGCAGGTATACAGTGCACGGTGCGGGGGAGAGAAGGGGCCGCAGGGCAGAGAAAAATGTTTATGTTTACATTTTCTTCTCTTGCCATAAAATATGAATTTTATTTCACACCTTGAATGTGATGATTTGAAGGGTGCCAGGGGCTGGAGGTGGGTGATTATACTACCCTTGGGCCAGCGTCCAGGAGCCATGCTGGGTCAGGGACCACTCCAGAACCCTCCAAGGGGCAGGCCTCCCAGGACCCTGGGAGCTCAGCCTGAGCTGAGAGGTATCCACATGCCACCTGTGCCTGGAAGCTTCCACGGTGATGGTTCAGTTCCCAAGTGGGGTCACTGCCTCCCTACAACACTCAGGATATTTATAAGCCCCAAAGGGACCAGCAGGCACCCACCCTATGGGCCAGGTAGAGGTGCCCCTCTCCAAGTCCCCTCTATCCTGAGCTGGGAATAGAGGGGAGAGAGCCACACCACCACTTCTGCAAAATCTTTAAGCAGGGTTGGGTGGTAGAGATTGCCAGGAAGGCTCTGAAAGTCCTTAGACACATATTTGTATAATCACTAAAGTCAAAGATAAAGAGTGCCCATGAGATAAATTGAACACCATGACACATCTGACTTATGAATAATGGCTGCAGTACAATTTGTATCTTGCCCCTGGCTGGCTAGAAACTCTACATCACCTTTAACCAGATACTTAAAATTTCCTCTTGTCTCTTAAGGAAAGTTGGAATAAACAAAAAGAAGTTTTCTCCAAGGGAAAATGACACCTTGTTTAGAGCACACGCGCGTAGGAAGAGGGGAGATACGATCCTAGGCTTTTACTGACTTTGAGCCACTTTAAACTCTATAAATTGTACATAACCGAAAGCAATATAAAATAATCCTTGCCTATAGACATGCAAATAAATTCTGTTCAGCAGAGGGACACCCAACCTCAACACACACACACACACACACACACACACACACACACACACATTTGGTTTATTTCAACATTCTCAATCTGTAAGTGTAAATGTGTCTGTTCTTTGGACTCTCCTTTGAACTGGATGTAATGTCTACTTGGTCTTCTCATTAATAATGAATTAAATGAAATCTTTAACTTGTGTTCATTTTAAATCTGCATGATTTTGTCCTCCTTTAAGATTCATCACCATTCGGTGGAGGATCAGAGGTGGGAAAAAAACAATGTCATCTGTAGCACGGAGGCAAAGGCCCTGCAAGTCGATCCCACCCAAGGAAGTGGTCCCAGAGCCAGACTGACGCTTTTACTGCAGCTGTGGCGCTTTTTACTGCATGTCAGCCACAGCCCCCAACCCGAGCCCCTGCCACCTTGGGGTACCTTGAGGAGACCTGGCAGTCCTTCCATCAGGATGGGGTGATGGGTATGTTCAGTACCTTGATTGTGGAGAAGGGACAGTCCAGGACCTGATGGTCTCATGCAGCCTAGATCTACTTGACTCCCCAAGTCACCCCCAAGCCCCAACCCCTTATCTCCTTGGGACCCTTCTGGTGTGAGTCAGCCCTGTGTCTAAGCAACCTCTGTCCTAATCTCTCAAGGCACAAGCTGACCACTTCCTCTGCCTCATTCAAAGCTATTAATTCAAAAGAATTAAATTATACAGTGGAGAGGGAGTAATGGAAAGGTCTGGAATAACCGTAGTCCAGAGAAAGGCAGGCTCGAACGCTGACCCCCAAGGTCTGTGCGTTTGAAGCTAGGAATTTGGGATGCAGACCTGGGCACCCCTGAAACCTGAGCGGGTGCCTGCCAGTGGTGATTGGTGACTTGGGAGATTCCCAGGACAGGAAATGAGCCAGCTCCCCGTGACCAGGGCCAGGGCCACAGGCTTCCCATGGCTGGACCGGGCCCCAGCGCAGCCAGCCAGTCTGAGCCTAGCCCTCCACTCCCGCCTCCCACCTCTATCACCACTCCGCCCACTGGCCCTGCATCAGAGGCAGCTCTGTGCCCTGGGCTACACTTGCAGGATTTGCCCATCTAGGTCTCTCTGTGCTCAGCAGGGGCTCCTCCTCTCCCCTTGACTGAGCCACCTGTGCCCCACCCTCCCATCCCCTCTCTCCCTGCCTCCACTGCCTAGCTGGAGGCAGAGAGCCATCCTCAGACCTAGGACCAACCCTGGCCCTAGGCAGCAGGGATGCTCAGGGCCAGAGCAGTGTCTGACCCCTGTGCACTTTTGTTCTCATCCTTGGGTCCAGTCTCATTCCTGAGAACTGGGGCAACCCGGTGCCAGCCTGTGACAGCGGAATCCCTGCCTTCCTTCTCATGCTGGAGTCTCTGTCCTAAAAGACTCAAGAGTCAGATCTGTCCTGTTCTGTCCCTCCCCAGCTCCTGCTGCGCTTCTGGTCCCATACCCTGGGTCCTGCAAGTGGGACCCCTCGTACCAGAGACTTCCTCTTGGCCCCCCTGATTAATGAGTGGGGACTTGCTTCCTCCTCTGTTACTGCCCACCCCTCTTCTCTGCTTTCCTAGCTCTCTCTACATAGGTGGTTTCCAAGCTTTGCGCTTTCACTGATATTCATGAGTTAAAAAAAAGAAAGAAAGAAAGAAAAAAGAAGAAGAGAAGCAGTACCAACTTTTTTTTTTTTTTTTTTTTGCGGTACGCGGGCCTTTTTTTTTGCGGTACACGGGCCTCTCACTGTTGTGGCCTCTCCCGTTGCGGAACACAGGCTCCAGACGCGCAGGCCCAGCGGTCAGGGCTCACGGACCCAGCCGCTCTGCGGCACGTGGGATCCTCCCAGACCGGGGCACGAACCCGTGTCCCCTGCATCGGCAGGCGGATTCTCAACCACTGCGCCACCAGGGAAGCCCCCAACTTTTATTTTTTTAATCAGACCAATTAAAAAGAAACCATCAGGGACTTCCCTGGTGGCGCAGTGGATAAGACTCCGCACTCCCAATGTAGGGGGTCCGGGTTCGATCCCTGGTCAGGGAACTAGATCCCACATGCCTGCCGCAACTGAGGAGCCCACCTGCTGTAACTAAGACCTGGCGCAACCAAATAAATAAATATTAAAAAAAAAAAGAAAGAAAGAAAGAAACCATCGTTTGGGACTTCCCTGGCTGTCCAGTGGTTAAAACTCTGTGCTTCCACTGCAGGGGGCGAGGGTTCCATCCCTGGTTGGGGAACTAAGATCCCATATGCCGTGCAAAGAAAAAGGAAGAAGAAGGGCTTCCCTGGTGGCGCAGTGGTTGAGAATCTGCCTGCCAACGCAGGGGACATGGGTTCAAGTCCTGGTCTGGGAAGATGCCACATGCCACAGAGCAACTAGGCCCGTGAGCCACAATTACTGAGCCTGCACATCTGGAGCTTGTGCTCCGCAACAAGAGAGGCCGCGATAGTGAGAAGCCCGCGCACCGCGATGAAGAGTGACCCCCACTCACCTCAACTAAAGAAAGCCCTCGCACAGAAACGAAGACCGAACACAGCCAAAAATAAATAAATAAATAGCGTTCCCTTTAAAAAAAGGAAAAAGAAAAGAAGAAAGAAACCATCATTTACTAAACCTTAGACCAGCTTCTTGACCCTAGGCTCTGACGTCCCTTTTCTTAGAGCCTTTTCTTTAGAAAACTTATAAACTCTTTCTCTGCCCCTTTGAGGTATCACATCATTTTTAAAAGCCCCTTTCCAGTTTTACAACCCAGAACTGTCTTTCTCAAGGACCTGGCTTCCATCCCTTTGAAGTGTCATCATCAAAGGGCATGTGTCTCTCTCCCAGTTACTGCACAGAGGTAGGTGCCTAACCACGGTGGGCACCTCACTCCAAGTTGTAAAACTACCTCCTGACATGAGATGAGATAAAGTTTACTTCTTCTTTGGCCAAAGCCAGTTGGCAAACACAGACAGCCCATGAGCTTCTTCTCTGGTAAGCTCTTAAAAAACCCCTGCTCTTTTTGTTTCAGGAAAGTTGAGTTTAAACTTGGTTCTAATCTTTCTCTACTGTTGCAGTGGTCTTAAATAAAGTCTTCCTTGTTTTATTTTGCCGGGTACAATTCGCTTTGGCAATGGAAGCCACGGCGGTGGGACAATCCCTTGGAGTCCCAAACCCACCAGGGATTATGGCTTATGGAGAGATTTCTAATGTTATGGGACCTACTGGTAGGGTCCCTCCTTTAATTTATTGTGCTGATTGATTTCCTAAGTTGACACTATCACTGCCTTGTGGGATTGAATTCTATTCAGCCAGATATTCCTTTAAAACACTGCTGGATCTGATTTGC